AACAAAGAATTTATTTACGATAAATGAAAAAAGGACGGAATTAGAGACTATCGCAATAGCTGAGTTAAAGGATCGCATATCTGCGACACATCGTCTTATTGTTAATCAGCCATTCCTCTTCGCAATTGTTAAAGAGATGGAACTGTTCACCTTGCAGGACAGTTTGTTAGGATTCTTCAAATAACTTTTATTGCTATACTATGTTTGTAAGCCTGTTTAATATTGTTTTAGTCTAATACTTGCGTCCTCAAACCTTGGAAAGTTTTGATATTCAACGTAACTTTGAATCCTTTACACACCTATGTTTGCCAATAGTTTGAAAATTTCCTTCACACCACATTATTGAGGATAAGGGAATCAAAGAACTCAGTTACCACTTGTCAATAGCTATTTCACTTGTCAATAGCTCGCTCTCCAATCCTTTCTGTATCCACAATACATAGACCGTGACAAGCTGATGTTGACAAAATTCTAGATTACATGCCTTATCAGGGTTCATCACTCTGTCACTTCACGGCTGACTGGTAGTACTCGCTGAGCATTGCATTTTCACGTAGGAAGTTCACGGCTCTTTTAGATGGTCACTAGTTCGTAGGAATATATTGGCAATATGAAAACCAATCGATAAGCTGTATCCCAGCACTGATTACTCCTTATGCTCATATTTTCATACAATGGCATCGGGAAATCACGTCTTTTGAAGAAAAGATTGGATAGTTCCATTTTTTCTTACATTCCATCACTAATTAATTAACTAAGTAATGATACAATACGGTGTAAAAGTTGGGACAACGACCAACAAAACATTTAGCAAATTAACCAATCAATGGATCAATTCAATAAACAAAAATTGTATTTAATTGTAGACAAAAGCTGCCACCCATGACCCTAATTTCAATTTTTTATTACAAAAAGAAATTGATGATAAAAACGTTTTTTGTCGTATATTTGTGGTTAGAAAACATCTTTACTTGCTTTCTTTCTTCCCAGAATTCTCAAAATACTGCCGAAAGAATGAGCAATCTGAAATTGTCGTAGTAGTTCAGACTTTCGTCACATATCTCAAACAAACCTTTCTTTCAGTTTAGCTTCAGATCCCTAAATAATGATTGCGAACATAACGATTAAAACATTGTTGCGCTCTTCCGGCTTCCCTTACTTACATCTTTCCGTTTCGAATAATAACAAAGGATTATCATCCATTCGTCTAGCATTAAATGCTGAAAGGGGTTTTTCTTTCTTCAAATATCATTCATGACTTCCTTCTGTGCGCAGTACGGAAGTTTATTGCGCGTGGGAACATTAGCGCTATTTGTCTTTAGAAAAACTAAAATAATGTCGTCAATCGATAAAGAATAGAAAGGAATGGACAGTGTTATTTTCGTTCTCTTTGTGGTGTTTTTCTCATTGCAAACCGTTCGTTTTCTAAATGCAATACACGGGACAGTTCTGCTGTAATTTGGTTTAGGAAATGAGCGGGGATTGTAAGGAATAGGACATGAGGATATAAGGAATTATGGACCGACGGAAAATCGGCCCAGACTTCCTGAAGATTATGCAATCCGCGGGTCTATTGCTTCAAAAGAAAAGCAGTCATTTACAGTGTTTGTCAGCGACCTTTGCATATTTCGCAGTCTTGACCATCCCGCCCCGCACGAAAAGTATAAATTTTTGATTAATTTACAGAATATTTTGTGCCTATTTTTTCTTTAAATATCATATTAATTACATATTTTCTCACAATTTCCCATCCAATATTTGGGAGGGATTTATGATTTCTTTAATTAGTAATAAAAGTCATAAATGGATAATAGTACCTGCAGTTTTTCACCACTTGTCTTTATCTCATCAAATACTTCCTCCAAGTCTCATTAATGAGTGGGATTAAATTTTTCACTCATTATTATATTCTTGTGAATTTAACTTAAGTTGAGACCGGATTCAGTGGTGATCGTTGCTTTGTTTTCCCAGCAAAAATTAGGCAAATTAGTTTATTTGGATTAATTTATTTGGAACATTGCATTTTTTTCTGTTTGAAGTTAGATGCGTCGATGATTTCTGTTAAATAAAAAAAAATCAATATGAAAAGAATTTTTCGGACCACAAATCATTCTTTCCTGCAACGAAATTCCGACAAACTTATTGATTTTCGTTCAGCTAATTTTCTTTCAAATTTTAATGGAAATTAGTGTAACTTTATGCTTTAAAGATAATTAATTTGCCGTAATTTGACGTGTATAAATTAGCTGTGGTCGATGATTTTAGAAATGATTTGAAGAATGCATAAGACTAACCATTAATGATTGAATTGGTAACAAAAAGGGGAAGAAAATTAAATCACAGATTGATTAATTTCACTCATTTGCTTCATTCCTTCAGAAAAATTAGATTCAATCGGCTAAATAATAATAAAAATAATTGCTGATTTCTTCCTTCTCACTTTTTGCGAATGAAACTTTAATGAGAAATATTAATACATATCCGTAATGACAATATTCTTTCTCATTGCCATTTCTATTAACTTCAAGATTTTATGCGTTTGCGCAAGTCATAAATATAAATTATCCAATAAAGTATACACAACAAAAAACCGCACACACACACGCGCACACACACACACACACACGCACACGCATACACACAAGCATATATATATATATATATATATATTATATATATATATATATATGTATACACAAAGACACATTTGCTATACGTACAAATACTATAGCATCTTACCAGATGTTTTTTTCCTTCATCATGGGGATAGAGATCAGTGATGTGACAAATTCAGATCCTTTGTTAATTAGTCTTGGGAATTTATTTTTTGGAAATCTTTTGCTATTAGGCATAATTAAATGCTGTCTATCGACGATAATTACTCTTACCGTTTCCTTCTTCCTTTTTATTTCTCACCTTTTTCTGTAAAATCTTTTCATTTATTTAACATTTCAAACCGTTTCTTTTTAAACTGTTCATTCTGTCAACTACACATAATTGTTTTACATATTTGGCAGTCATTTCCCGATTGTAACCTTTTTAATATAATAAAAATTTTTATAAAAACATACTAGTAAAGGTCATTTTTATGTTTAATTATAATTCGCTAATTTTTCATTGTGTTTCCTATGACGATTTTGCAGTTTCTTCGAGTTAGTAAACAATTTTCATATCAATACATTCCTGAATTATGCAGATAAGAGCAGTAAGAATTTCTTTTTCGGTGCTCAATTAAAGGAAAGTAGTCTTAGTGCCTTACTAATATTTTAAATCTATTACCAAGAAAAATAAAAAATATTTTTCTCGAGAAAAGGAAGTCTATTATTATCAAGGAAACATTAATCAGATCACTTTTTGATAGGAGGTTAAGATTATTGTAGAGGTTTAGATTTCGTAATCATGCTTCCCGGATTTTTTGCCAATTACAGTATAAAGTTTTGGCTATAGTAGTTTTTGCCATTAATTTTTAATTAAATTATGGTTTCAGATTTTTCACGTAGATAAAAAGTCAGACGAAATAAAATTAAACTCGTTAGATGGATAATTAGTCGAGTCGAATGTCAGAAATTTTGTTTTTTTCTAAAGTCTTCCGTAATAAACCACTACATCATTTACTAATTTAGTTAAATGAAGATACCAACCATCCAAGCATGATTTAACTATCTAAATTTCAATGGAAAATTCAAATTCGCAATAGCAGAGAAGTAATAGTAAATATTCATCCCTCCTATTAACCCGTCCGGCAATCATTTCAGTTGACATACAAATCTCACTGCAATAATCCTTCTTATCCCTCAAGAAGAAAAATTTTCAGGGAAATGTTTAATATATCGATATTACCGGAAATTTGTGAAATAACAAAATTAATTTATGTGAAGAATTCACGAATGCGTAATGTATTTATTGTTGAATTTGTAAGTAGCAATTTGGCTATTTGTACAGCTTTACTCACTTTATTAGCTATAATCTTCAATAAAACACTTCACTTCAACATGCGAATATTATTTATGTGCTTCTGGGGCGCAATCATTATTACCTGCATAGGTAAGTTGGAGAAAATCCTGTCATTTGTCGTATATCTCTTTCACAAAAAAAGCCAGAACTGCTGTTAAAGTTAATTTTTGTCGAAAAAATCCTCATTGCATTGTTAATTGGCACCAATTAAAAAGTGTGCATTGAATGCCAAGTGAATAAATTTCTAAAGGTTGTCTATAATACTCCCATAATGTATATATTATCTTTTAATGGATTGGAAAGTTAAATAGAGGGACTTTATTGATCATAGTAATTTGCGTGGGAATATAAGTTTAGTGAATATATTAAAACATGTTCAAACAAGGAACGCTGTCAGCACCATAAGGCTTTGTGTCCACAATCTGGACATAGAAGTTAATGTAAAATGACAAATCAATGGCGGATTGATAAATCCAAAATTTAAACATTGCAAATAAATTTGATCATTAATTTAAGAGATGAAGGTTGGACAAAGGATTTATTACTTTAAAATGGAGACATTTATATTCCTAATTAGAATAATGAATCATTTATCCAAAAATATTCAAATTAAGACAACTTTTACATACATATCCATATTTTTGGTGCTTAATTTTCAAATTAGCAGATTTAAAGCTGAATATTTCACACTATCATATTTAGGAACACTAATCGATTCGTCCTACTATCTTATAGCAATTATATCAAAAGTGGATGGGGAGCGTTGTGCTTGGTTATCGTTTACCAAATCAGATTGCATTGGTCACTTTATCTTTTTAATATAGATTTATTCGTATTAATATTTTTTAATTTAAATGACACAAAATAGCTTGAACTGCTAGGTTGTATCCCTTTGAAAAACACAAAGTTAACTGTGGCACGAAAAAAAAACGCGCCTGACCTTCTGCGCCACGAGTTATCCAAATAAATTTTTCTCGAATAATAAACCAATCAATAATTAAGTAAACAATTAATAGTGAGTAAATACTTGGTGGAGAAACAATTGAATGAATAATATACTATTTCCAGCATTACGCAATGTGTATTATCTTGGTCTAGTAACATTAGTAGTGTCAACATTTTTTCTCTCTGTTGAAAGAATAATTGCAACGCTTCTTTATCAGACATATGAGCGTAACACACGTAGATGGATTAGTATATCAGTGGCTTTATCACAGGTAAGTTACTCTTTCCGTACTTTCTTGTCACTATAGAATTTTCATTTCATAAGAAAATAAAACTAACTCTCCAATTTCCTATTTATTTTTTATTTCTCACTTATCATTTCTTACATTTCTATACTATGCATGGAGAAATTTGATTCGCATTTCATTTTTTTCGGATATTTATAATTTTGTTTCAAAAAATGAAAAACAAATACATTTTTGATCCATTTTTCTCCAGAATAATTGGTGTTACTACCATTTGTCTCATGTATTTTTTTTTTTTTTTGAAACATTGTTTCGTCCCTCATTAGGATTCATTTTTAATTAATGGTTTTTTAGTGGCTTTTGATTATTCCTCTGATGTATTATCACAATCACGATGAAGGACATATTTACCCCTACTGCGCTTACGAACTGTTTGATCCACAAGTGATGGCGAATATTCAGCTCGGTGTTATTGCTATGCAAATTTGCTCATTTGTTATTATTATTATGCTGTGGACACATAACAATAAAAAATTAGTGAGTAATCTTGGGTTTTATTTAAAGAAATTCAAATTTGAAATATGTATTTGAACTGATTGTTAAAAAGCAACATTCTAGACTTTTTTTTGAAGTGAAGGCATGCCACTATTATTACTTAGCTCCTGTTATCGAAAGTTATAATAATGGTAAAAACAGGTTAACAAGCGGAACATGACCAGTGAGACTGATACAGTCTTTTACTAGGATCGAATTTCCATAAAATCGATCAGATCTCGTCGGATTTCTGAAATACCTTGATATCTCTGGTAATGCTTTTAAATAATCAATTAATACGGAATAAAGCTTTCGGATAATTTCCAAGGTAAGAACAAGTGTTCCAAATATTTGGCTTGATTTAATATTGCATTCTAGCTCTATCGAAAGTGTCAGAACGAAAACGTCAGTGTACGATATCAGTTACGTGAAAATGTTTCGACTTCAAAACTGCTGGTACCACTTGTTGCCATAACAACAATACTTCTCCTTACGGGTGCATTGCTGCACCTTGTGTTACCTTCAGGACAAACTGATAATTACTGGATTATCGTCGATCAGCTGACCACATATTGTTTTTTGCGCTGAAATACAGGTATCATTTATAGGTGTCATCAAACTGTTAAAATCATTTATAGGTGTCATCAGACTGTTAAAACAATTTCTTGAAATCTTTCACTTATCTTATACATAACCGGTAAAAAAGAAATAACTTGAAATCCGTCATACTTTATTCTAGGCTTGCTTCTTGCCCATTGTATCAATTATCCTCGCCATCATTCTATGCCACACAAGCAGAACTATTCGAAGCTCCCTTTTTCACCTGCTTGGCCTCGAACGTTGCATAAAACATGGTGGACAAAATTCGATTAACATATCACCAGATGAATTTATCCGTCGGGCCTATTTCGATCAGTTACAACGACAATGGAATGATCCACCTATTTCTTGGAATGATGCAATGTGTAATAGTTTGAGGTACAAAAGTTTCCGAAAAGTCAATTCTCAGCAGATAAAGTAAACTTCGATATTATTGAGCCAGTAACAAGAAATTGAATTTTTATATAACTAAATTGTCAAATTCATTCAATCCAAGGTATTGTGCATCAAATCATTTCCAGTTTTACTGTATGCTAATAAGTTCAAAAGAACAGATTGGTATAGAAGGAGCAAAATATAACATTGAAAAATGGGATAGTTAAAATAAATAATTTAAAGTCGTATTTTCGGGAACAAAGTAAAGATAAAAAGTGAATAAGTAGTGCAAACATTAAACAGTGTTACTTCATGGAATGATCTCCAAAATTAAGGATAGTAATAATAGTTAATAATAATAATAATGGTAATAATAATAATAATAATAATAATAATAATTGCTAAAAATTAAACAAAACTTTAGGAAGTAATATGACATGTGAGCCTATTAAAATAAATAACTTGTTGAAACAAATTCATCGAAGCTGATATCACTAAATTATTTTGCTCATTTATAAGTTACACTGTATCGATGCGATAAGTGATTCCGGATGCCGGACTTGTTCAAGCCCTTTATTCTTTTTACCTGCTGGTTTAAACTATAATCATTAGTTGGTTTATACCGGAATGCAAGACGATTGTAATCGCGTGATTGCTGGACACGAAGTTGTGTTCAACGCT